ACTTAAATGGAGCTTGTTGAAGTGACGGATTTAAATTAGTTAAAGGCAATCACTTTGATGAGTTACTAATTAAAGTAGCCCAAGCACCCTAATAAGATTCAAACGAAAACAGAAAGGTTTCGTTTTCTCATCCTTACACCTTCAGGCCAGTGTCGGCCACATACACCCATGTCATGTATTTTGTGACATTATTTACAGTTTTCTCCTTGTTGGGAATAGCTTTGATCCAATCACAACGTTGTTTTCGCTCACTGTCAAAATTAGTGTCACAATCACCAACAGAATACTTTCGTGGCATCTTGATAAATGTTTAAACTACCAAAGAAGAAAAAAAACACAAATAGAAAAATACCATAGAATCGATATAAATTAGGATGATTTTGGCTCTCAACTCTAAGGCAAGGGAACTTGGTTTTCTTCCTCTGTCTTGAGTTTGAGTGAACTTGCAGTAGTTTTACTGACTATATCTAGATCTAGATCTAGTTTTAAACACTTGTACAAGTAAGTCGCAGTCACACAGGCACATATCTAAAGTAGATCTCAATGCTGCACTTGCTTTTTACTTTACTTTTACTTTTATTGACATCTCTAGAATCTAGATCTAATCTAGATCTAGCCTACAATCCTTTAAAATGGGTACAAATCACCTCTTGATTTAAAATTATAATGCCAACAACTGTAGCCCCCACCCAAAATAAAATAGAAACATTGGATATCTAATCTACTAAATGGGAAATTGTACAGTACAGTAAGGGTAACTTTCTCATTCTGTCAACACCACTCGCGAGTTAAGTTGAGAAGAAAAACTTTAAGCTAGGATCACCAACCTCTCCTACTCCTACTTCCCAGAGTCTCTAGTATTAGGCCTAGATCTAGGGGAAACAGAATCTATGAAGTTAACACAATACGTACCAGAACACGATAATTAACTATCACCGCATTCAAATAGGACACACACGGCTAAAGAAACACACTTTGGCACACACAACACAACATGGCATGGCACGCCATTATTCATTGTTTATGGTGGCATTGTCTGTTGATGGATCACATAATTCTCCTTGATTCGAATCAACACCAGCACTTAATAATATCCTGAAAACAGAATTTATGCCATAAAGCACAATAATAGTCAACTATCACATTCAAATCGGGAGCAAGGCTAATGAAACACACTCTGAATGAATACTTAGGAGCACGCACACAACACAACACGGCACGTCATTGTCTACGACACCTTGTTAGCCTTGTAGGTACACACGGTTCAAATTTGCCCCCGGCCTTCTCGATAAGCCCTCTCGACCCTTTGTTTACATTCGGCTGCTGTTCCTGCTTTAGTTCCGGTATCCTCGGTTTGGTGTCAATAGGGTGATGTTTACGGTCCATGGTGACTGGGGAAAGCTCATCAAATCCCGATTTGATATGGTTTGATCCATATGATGGCGGCCAGATTTTTCTTCACGGAGGCTAATAATGAAAGATAGCATTTGTATAACGCAAATCCACGCTCAACAGCAAGCTCTATGCACTTCACAATCTATACTATTACCCCTGCAGACCTGAGAGCATTCTGAAACAACCTCAACTTCCTGGGAATTATACAGTGCAAGCAGTGAGCCATTCATAGGCGCTAAAACACTAACATACTGACAAGATCTTTCGCTTGTCTATGGCTGGGTACCCATTCCCACCTGGATGAAGTGAGAGAAATACGTGTAAAATGCCCAAGGACACAACGTCGGGCCCGTGGCTCGAACCCCCGAACCCGCAACCTCACGATTACTACAATTCTGACACTGTTCGTTCACATGCTCCAGAATCAAACATGTTTGTTATTCTAGAGCAGGATCGTTCCTGCCGGGTGAAAATCGTAGCCAACAGCCAATCAAAAGTCTGCTACATTTGACCATGCACTCTGACATATTTAGGCTGGCAGAAATAGTTTAAATTGTGTTGAGTGGACATTTACAATGGTTTCATTACACCATGTCCCACTCATACGAGTAGTGAATGAACTTGGTCGCAAGAAAACACCATGTAATGTCAAGAAGCAATTGTTTGGAGGTGGGTGGGCAGAGCGGTGTATTTTTAGCTTGACATTAGTTCTAATTTGAAAACTGGCGACAGACTGCGGCGACCTGCAATGTTGTCTTTGTTCGTGAGTTTGTTCGTTATCGTACAATACAAGTAATCAGATGAGATGCTGTCTAGTTTTGACGATTCTCTTTAGCAATAAGCACATCAAGTTATGAAGTATGAGTACATGACGACGAATTCTTAAATAAAGTATTTATTCAGTCCAATTTAGCTTACTTCATTGGTCTAATATGGCGTTGACTAATGAATAAAAAAGGAAGGGAAGAAAAAAGAAAGAAAGAAAGAAAGAAAGAAAGAAAGAAAGAAAGAAAGAAAGAAAGAAAGAAAGAAAGAGAAAGAAAGAGAAAGAAAGAAAGGACAATAATCAAAAGATAAACTAACGGTTTCTCTCTTTCTTTCCCAG